TTATTGGCATAATGTTCCTGTGTCAAGAAATATCCATTCTGTGTATGAAGAACCTTGATGCCAAGGAATAGTGAGATGGTTCCCAACTGCTTTAACGCGAACTCAGTGTGTAGCGCATGAAGGAGTTGCTGAATGCTGTCGGAGTTATTACCTGTCACAAGAATGTCGTCGACATAGACTAAGAGAAAGATTTGAATATTATTTTTGGAGTAAAGAAGAAGTGATGAATCAGAACGACTAAACCTGAAACCACGATGTAGAAGAAAATTGGTGAATTTCTGGAACCATTGACGAGGTGCCTGCTTCAAACCATAGAGAGATTTTTGTAGTTTGCAAACGTGGTGTGGATGCCGTGGATCTTCAAAACCTTGAGGTTGGCGCATATAGATATCGTCGGGAAGGTCGCCATGGAGAAAGGCATTTGTGACATCTAGTTGAAGGACCTCCCATTTCCGATTGACAGCTACCGTGAGGAGCATACGGAACGTAGTCATCTTAGCGACTGGACTGAAGATTTCGGTGTAATTTTCGCCGAAACGTTGGTCATAGCCGAGAGCAACTAATCGAGCTTTGTAACGATCTATTTGCCCGGAGGGGAGGAGTTTGATCTTGTAAGTCCATTTGCACCCGAGAGGACGTTTGTTTGGTGGAAGCGGTACCAAAGTCCAGGTGTTTTGTTGGATAAGTGCATTGAACTCAGTTTGCATAGCCTTGTTCCAGTGATCGTGCAGGGCTGCTTGTCGGTATGATGTCGGAGTAACCCGATCAGTGGCCTGGCTAAGTAAAGTGAACATTTGCTTCGGTTTGTAGATACCAGACTTAGATCTGGTTTGCATCTGATGGAGTTGTGGTTGAGCTGAGTCAGGCAAAATCGGGACAGAAGGCAGAGGGGTGGGTTGATCCGGAGTAGCATTGGTGATAGAGGTGTGAGTGGGAACAGAGGAAGTGATGACATTGTCGGGTTTAGGAGAAGCATGATTACGAAGAGTTGAGGTTGGTACGAGAATTAAGGGGTTGGTTTGAGAAGAAGCAGAACTAGACTGTGAGGTAGTGATAGTATTAGATTTGGAATAAGGAAAAATGTGTTCTTGAAACTCCACGTGTCTTGAGACGTGAAGTTTATTGGTGTGTATGTTGTAGCACTTGTATCCTTTATGGCGCGAAGAGTAGCCAATGAAGACGGAAGGTTGGGATCGAGGCGAGAGTTTAGTAGCAGTGTACGGTTGGAGCCAAGGGTAGCACAAGCACCCGAAAGTGCGAAGATGAGCTAGAGAAGGGCTTTTCTTATACAGAAGTTGATAAGGTGAGTGTAGGCCGAGAGATTTAGAAGGCAGTCTATTGATTAGATAATTTGCCGTGTCTGTGGTGTCAGCCCAAAAGGTGTCTGGGAGATTGGAGGCATGAAGGAGAGTTCTTGTTTGGTTCAGAAGATGCCGATGTTTGCGCTCGGCTAAACCGTTTTGTTCCGGAGTGTGCGGGCAGGACAATTGATGTATGATGCCATGATCCTGAAGATAAGTTGTGAAAGCCGAGCTTGTGTATTCGCCGCCCCCGTCGGAGCGGAAAATATTAGGGGTGGTGTGAAATTGATTTTGAATTAGACTGCAAAACATTTTGAACTTATTTAACGTTTCAGCTTTCGTAGAGATGAAATAAATCCAAGAAAATCTTGTAAAATCGTCTATAAAGATGACAAAATATCGAAAACCAAATAGAGAAGTCGTAGGAGATGGTCCCATACATCCGAATGAATGAGTTCAAATGGATGTGTGGTGACCGAAACATGTCTGCTAAATGGTTGTTTGTGGCTTTTGGCCATAGTACAAGAATTACAATGAAAAGAAAAAGAAACATTCTTAATGTCGGTAGAATTATTCGCTAGATGTCGGAACGTCTGATGGTTCGGATGGCCGAGTCTCGCATGCCAGGTGAGTGAGGAAGCCGTGGTAGTTTGCAAAGCTGTCGGGTTGGTAGATGGCGGAACATCGAGCTGATAGAGTCCGTTATGGAGATGACCATGAAGGAGAGGGCGGCTGTCCTGTATATCCTTAATAGTGAAGCCATTAGAATCAAAAGTAATAGCTATATTGTTGTCCTTAGTGAGTTTAGAGACAGATAAGAGATTGTGAGTCAAATGAGGTACATGAAGAAGGCGAAGAAGATGAAGCTTACGGGGTGTATCGGGGAGAGGTAGCAAACCTTGACCGTAGTTATGAATGGGCAGAGAAGATCCATTCGCGACGGTGACGGAGTCGGAGCCAGTATATGGAGCAGATTGATGAAGACTTGCATTGTCATGTGTTATGTGATTTGTCGCACCGGAGTCAAGAATCCAGCTTTGTTGAGACGTGGGTTGAGCAAGAAGAGCGCGCGGAGCATTTTGAACTGTTGGAGCATATTTGTAGTTGTTTCTGTGCCAGCAATTTAAGGCAATATGACCAATCTTGCCGCAAATTTGGCAAGTGGGTCGGTCATTGGAGACGGGATTGGTGAAGGTTTTGGTTTCAAATTGGCGAGACGCGAGAATATTGTTTCTGAAGGAACGTTTGGAGTTCCTGTTCTTGTGCTGATTAGCGGAAGCGGCATAAAGAGCGGCGGTGGAGTTGTGTAGAGATTGCTCCTTCTTGATTTCATTGTTGATGTGTATCTCTTCACTGCAAAGCTGGGAGTAGAGCTTATCGAGATCCGCTGGTGAAGAAGATGTTCGAATTGCGGTTTTGAAAGCGTTGTAGGATGCCGGTAGACCATTCAGAGTGTATAAAATGATGTCTTCTTGGTCATTATCGACAATGTTCTTGATCATGGAAAGATACTGCTGCATTGTTTGATTGTTCATGTGAACTTGGTGTAATTCGTTCTTGAGTTGGATTACTCGAGAACGGCAAGTCGACTGAAGTCGACGTTCGAGTATCTCCCAGACTTCTTGCGCTGAAGATGCGGTGATGACATATGGGAGAAGCGTCGGAGAAATTACGGAAAAGAGAGCGGGAATCAAATTGCTGTCGATGAGGCGCCAGCGGGCGTAATCTTGCGAGGTCTTGTCGGCCGGAGGTGCGATCTTGCCTGTGAGGAAGTCGGCATAGCCGTTTGCCGTGAGGTTTTGTTGAATCTGGATCTTCCAGATTGCGTAATTATCTACGGTGAGGTGATGAGGGATCAGGTTCTTGAAATTTGAGATTATGAACTTGAGAGAGGCGGGAAGAACGAGTTCGTTGAAGGCGTCGGCGAGGGAGGAGGTGGGAGCGGGAGGGATAGAGGACGTCGTTTCTTGATCTCCCATTTCCTGCTCTGATACCATGTGAGAGCTGAGGAAGATGAGAAGGATCGGAACAGAGAGAAGCCAAAGATGAGAGAAAATTGGAAATTAATCTTATTATCTGAAAGCTTATTACAGAGCCTATATATATAGAAATACATGTGTATGATTGTAAATAACATAAGATACATAATGAGCTATACAGACGTGTTCGTCTCACAATATCATGCATGCAAGAAACTAAACAAGCATGTTTATGAATGATGTACTGTGCTTGCTGAAATTTTAAAATAAAAATCAATGAAAACAGAGGAAGATTTTATTAAGTAGAAGATCCTTATACCCACATCAAAAGCACTTAAATAATTCATTAAAAAAGGACAGAAAGACTGAGGAAATTCAATAGTGAAGCTCTTAAATACCCTCAGACTTGCTCTTAAAATGTTATACAGGAAAATTTTCCAGAATGGAAGTTAATCAGAATAGAAGACCGTGCTCCCGAGCAGCATCAGCAAGGGCTTGTACGCGTCCATGGTATGGGTAGCCACCTCGATCAAAAGCCACTTGTGTGATTCCTTTGTCTAAGCAAGACTTAGCAATGGCTTCACCAACCTTCTTTGCCACTTCCTATTTAACCATTTATGTTTACAATCAGCTGGTTTAATGTAAACATAAAACATGTTCCAAAAATGATAAAATAACATAGATTTGATTGAGATAATTTAAATTCTTCAAAACCTTACTTTATATTTATTTTTCATCAAATCAAACACCTAAAATGTTTGAATGCAGGAAGTTGACGGCTCGTTTGTTTATCCGTTTTTAGTGCTTTTTCTGTCTAGCAGCAGTAACGCAGAAAAAAAATTATTTGTGTGATAAAACTACTTTTCTTAATCACGTTCTGAATATCATTGTTTTTATACTATTTTTAAAAGCTTTATGATATTAACTTCTCCGTTAGAAAACTCAGTTATCTCAAACAACAGTTTTAAAACACTTTTAAGAAAAGTACAAAATAATCAACCGAAGCCTGGATGAAATACAATCCTAATATTCCGAAAAAACAACCCTTACAAAAAAATCTCAGGGCCAAGTACTGCTTTGCTTGACACAGTAAATCATTGCATAAAAACAAATAATTACTCGTCTTTTCTTCTTTTTCAGTGCTAAAACGAAATCTGATTACCTTTTCTTAACGGGATAAAAAAGATACTAGTATAGGATGCCAGAGGAAGGAACAACTGAGATGTTAGACAGCAAGTGACATCTGTTCAACCACAAAAAGACCTTCACAATAGCTGAACAGACTTTTTCATACTTAAACATTTAAGGATAAAAATCACGAAAGCAGTGCAAGAAAGGTTGAGGCATATGTTTCTATAAAGAAATTTTAAATATTTGTTAGATTTTTTCATGCATATTGTTGCTACGTTTTCCACAACACATCTTTCATTAGAGTGCTTACTTTCGCACAACATTAACATAACAAATAAATGGCAAATATTGATGCAACTTCTACATGAACGTAGATAGCTATGAAATATAGGATTAATATAGAGATTATCAATAGCATCCTTATCTTTATCATTCTCCACTGTTGAGTGCAGCATAAGGTAATAAATTTTACCCAAGTCTTTTTGTACAATTGCAAGCAACATTACCTTGGGTTAATTCATTTACCTTCTTATTGATTTCACATTCAATCTACTCACTCTACTTGGCTTATCTTTTACATTCTTTTCTATGTTCAAATCACCTAGTTTTATTATTCACTATCTTATCTTTAAGATATCTTAAGAGATGCTACTCCCTGAATCACTATAACAACATCAAGCCTTTATCTCACTACATGAGGTCAGCATTACTCCCACTATCACTAAAGTTATTAATTCTCACTTTATCGACCTTAATTTTATTATGTAGCCATTTTAACACTCATACATATATATAAACTCTCATTTCCATCTCCTTCAACTTGATTGTTATTGGCTTCCTTGTTTGTTTACCAACACTCAAATCCATAAAATATAGTAAGTCTAACTATAGCCTTATCAAAATGATCTTTGATTATCAATGTCATTCTCTCATATATCAGTACTCTTGAGACATTTCTCTATTTAGCAAATACAACCTTAACTCTAAAAATCACATCCTACTCCATATTCCCATCATTTTGTATAATGCATCCAATGCAATACATAATCCTTTGCAATGCTCTAAAAATCACATCCTAGGTATCACTTGTTCAATGTTTTATTTCACAGTTAATTTTCAATTACAAATTCCACTAAAACTGACAAGTACTTTATCTTTGTTCTATTAATCTTACACCCCTTACATTTTGGAACTCTACTTCAAAAAGAATTTCACCTATTAAAACTATGTGGCTTTGTAAGTAGCATACACCAAGTTGCCTCACATTGCATCTTTGCAAGCATCTTCATAATCAATAAAAAAAATGAAAAATATCTCATGCCAATAATATACTATAGTGGATAAGGAATATAAATCATTACACATATTACAAAAACTAAAACTTTGTAATATTTTGCCGCAAAACAATTCTAAATAAATAGTCTCAATTGACTTACAATTGTAGGCCCAGAAGAGAAATCAATTTCTTCTATCACTGGCTTCTGCATGGTTGAGGCTGCAGCTAGTGTGTGCATTTTCGTATCATCAATCACTTGGACATAAAGATGCTTGTTTGAACGGAAAACACACATCCTTGGCCTCTCAGGGGTACCATGGACCTTGAAAGAAGTAACATAAACAATACAAGAGTACCATATCATAAAAAATTAACAGAAGAAAATAAATTATACAAGAGTTGCAAGCATCATTCAAAATTTTTAAAAAATATATACTTTAACAGTTCAAATAAAGATCAAGCACATAATAAACATCAATCCCAATTATGAAAAAAGAGGGTACACTTTAATTTTTTCAACTGCTTAATACTTTTCACATCAAAATTTTCCTAATAGTAACTTATCTCAATCTATGCTTACATAAATGGTACTCACATATTAAAACACAAATGAGTTTTCTTGCTCTTCCTATTCACTATATGAGTCATTCGATATTGTTCATTGAACATAGCTCAACAAAATTACTAAAGAATGGAATAAATCTCTTTACGGATAAAGGCATTCTGCATTTCTGACTAACTAAAATGGAACATCAAAAGGTTATTGTACCTTGGATTCCAGTGCACCAAGCATTATAAATTTCTGTTTGGATGCTAGTAATGAACAAGAAAATGGTGTTCAAATACTTAAAACAATAATTTCATAATCAAGCAAAAATGCCAGATATTCCATGGATCTTCTTCCTTACTTCAACCTTTGTTCCATCTAAACATGGCCATCCTTTTGAAACATGGCCATCCTTTTGAGTAAAGAATAGTTCAATCGACTAACCTAGCTCATCAAATTACTCACAATTAGTCAATTTCATCACAATTTAAGAAAATCATCACTAAACTGGGAAAAAAATGCACTTTTTCATTGTAACTAGTCAGCACTATAATGAAGGCGGTAGCATTATCTTGAGAAATTAATAGCAGCTTAATTGCATCCAAATGCACACCATGAGACCAGGTTCACCTTCTTCCTAACGCGTTCGTGACGGGCGGTACGGCTCTCGCTCCTTGTCTTGGCTTTCGCCTCGATGGACGGAATCCCCGTCCATGTCTTTGCGCTAGGACGCTTATCGGTGATTTCGCCGGTGAAGTGAAGGCGAAGAGAGAAAGGAAAGGCGCCGCTTCCATTTGAGGAGGAAAAAGACCGAGCGGCGGGCGACAGAGCCGGAGCGGCAATTGCCGATGAATGAGAAGTAATTGGCAAAGAACAAGTGGAGTACATGACTCGAGCCAAGCTTCTGTTTTTCCTCTTTTCTTCCTCTTTCCCGTTTGAGCCTCCCACGCCACTCCTTATCCGCCCTAGCAAAGAAGACCTCTTGACAGTAAAAAAATTTAGGGATTTTTACATACATAACACTTTTTGGCCAATTTAATAAATAATGGAATGGACCGGGCAGGCAGTGAATAGAACCACGTCCGAGCTTGCCCTTTAAGAGGAACAATTATTACGTCCTCTGACCTGACGTAAAGCTAAGCTCGGCCGCCAATAACATGTCGCCACTTGTTATTATTCTAAATTGTCTTGATCCGGAGCGGAACCCGGAAATACTATGTTCTCGATTTTCTCGATATCTCGGTATTTGCTAGGTATTGCTTTGCAAAAATGAGAAATATCGCTATGTGAAGATCAAAACCATGCAAATACCGAGTTGTACCGAGTTTTTTACAACTCGGTACAACTCTGTACAACTTGGTATTTGCTCAGGATTTGCTCGATATTGCTACAGATTTGCTCGGTATTGCTAGGTATTTACTCGGTATTGCTAGAAAAAACTCAGTACAACTCAGTACAACTCAGTATTTGCTCAGGATTTGCTCGGTATTGCTAGAAAAAACTCAGTACAACTCGGTATTGCTCAGGATTTGCTCGGTATTTGCTCAGGATTTGCTTGAAAAAACTCAGTACAACTCGGTACAACTCGGTATTGCTAGAAAAAACTCAGTACAACTCGATATTGCTAGAAAAAACTCAGTTATTGACACACTTTAACTCGCCATAGCATACTAATAATTGCCCTTTGACGAGTCTTATAATAATTGTTTTGAATTTGGCCGTGCAGGATAAATCACAGAATGCTCTAATTCTTTTTAAGTAAATTTTCAGTTCAAATACAGTAATACGAAAAAAAATGCATAAATTATTTCCTATTAAATTTCATTTCCTAACATAAAAAAAAAAAAGAATATTATATGTATATTATTTCTCATTTTTATTTTTTATTTAATTTTAATCATATATTTAGATTTCTTAAATTTCCAATAAAAATAACTTTTACTCGATAAATTAATTTGGAAAATAAATATTTACTTAATAAAATAAATTTTATTTTTATTTCTCATTTTATATTTTTGCTGTCATACCTTATTCTGTATTTTGATTTTTATTTTTTTATTTTGTTGAAGTATTGCAATATTTAATATCCTAAAAAAAAAAAACTTTTACTCGATAAATTAATTTGTAATATAAATATATACTTAATAAAATAAATATTAGTTATTTTTATTTTTATTTCTCATTTTATATTTTCGTTGTCATAACTTGTTCTTCATTTTGATTTCAATTTTTTATTTTGTTGAAGTATTATAATATTCAATATCCTTTAAATTTAATGGGGCTTTTATCCTAATTTATATATTAATCTTGTATCTTAATTATGCTATTGCATTTTATATTATTTAAAATGAATAACTTAATTAAAACAATTAATTATATAAAAAAGTAATAATAAAAAACTATACTTAATAACCTATAATTATTAACCTAAGTTTCTGAATTAAAAAAAAAAGTTTGCATCGACATCAACACTGTTCATCCCACGAATTTAGCGTGCAATTTGACATTCAGGTGGAGCGAATAACAAACAAAAAACAAGAAGAAGCAATGCAGTTGGAGATAGCTTTAGGGTGCATTTGAGACGGCTACAGTTGTTGATAAAACATGTTGTGAATTTATTATACTTAAAGATTCTTTCTAAAGTTGTACATAAATAATTATATTTTATCTGGATAGTATAACTACGAAGCTACTATGCTACAGCTGTGTCAGAACAATTTACCTTGATACTCTTATATATATTGAGATGATAGAAAATTATTTAAAAAATAAATTTTTTAAAAAAAATTTATATAATTACAAACTAGCAATTCTAAATCAAAATTGATCCACTTTTACAAAATATTTCAAAACTCTTAAATATAAAAAAACTCCTAATATATTTTAAAATGACTTTTACTTTAAACAAAGTTTACAAGTTTTTGCTGTATCTTATATACAACTTGTACGAATTTTAAAACATAAAGAATTTGGAAAGTTCCAAGTGCATTACATCAAATAAATTGAATCGTGGAGTGCTATCACTGTCGGAGTTGAAAGAACTTTAATAACTAATGCATTACTCAACTGTTTAATATAGGGGTGCAAACCGAGTAAAGCGCTCGAACTCAACTCGGTAACTGGTTCGACGAGTCGAGCTTATCGAGCTCGCGAGTCGAGCTTATCGAGCTCGCGAGTCGAGCTCGAACACAGTTTCGAGCTCGAAGGCATATCGAGCTCGAGCTTGAACAGGCGTCTGACTCGACTCGTCGAGCATATCAACAGCCGAGCTAGCGGGCGAAAAATGCAATTTGGGAGCGGGAAATCGAAATGGCGAGCAGGAAAATCTAATTTGAATCTCGGACGGACGCTTACCGAAGGCTCGGCATCGACGGGACGTCATCGACGGGAAAATACAATGTTACGCTCAGCGACGACATTGAAGGCATCAGCATTGAAGACAACTAGCAAAGGTCTGCAACAGACAACAGAAACAAAAGTGGAAGCGGGCGACGGCATCTACGACGGACAACGGCGAAGGTCTCACGACGGTGCTTGACGACGAGCTTGCTTTTTCTCTGTCGAGTCAAGCTCAAGCTCGATTTTCGACAGCTGAGCTCGACTCGAACACCTCCCGACTCAAGCTCGACTTGACTCGTTTGCACCCCTAGTTTAATATTATGCAATTCAGGTTCCGAATTAAATTTAAAAATATTATCATCTAAGGAGAAAGAGGAGAAATCCTCCAATGAGAAATCCTCCAATGATTCAACTTGAAAATGTTGTGGATATTTTCAAGCATTTTGAGAAGAAATTGTCTATTGAAGTGACAAAAAAAAAAAGTGAGACTTCTCCTTAACAGCTACAGAATTCACGTTTAAATGATCTTCAGGGACATTTTGTTGAACAGTAGTAATGCAACATTTCATCAAGATTTTTTAAATAAGTGACACCCAAGCAAGCTTCTCGTTCAGTGCAGGAATTTACAAGAAAACAATACATTTACAAATTAAGCAGTCATGCATGAATATTTAGTGAAGTTGTAAACACTAACATTTTAGAGGGAGCACGAAACATTATCACGCATGAAAATTGAAAATAGCGCATTACGAAGAGTTTCCAAACAGAAAAAATTATTCTGTGCAGGCATTGAACGCCGTCTGAAGAACAATAAAAAACACCATGTCACCCTTTTACGGTACCGCGGCTCGGTACTACACAGTACCGCAGCATCCAAACGTAGAGCTGCGTCCGACATCCGCACAGAATAATTTCTCCCCAAATGGAGCCAAGTTCATGAAGTATGCTTTCTCACCCTCCGCAATGAATTATCATCATAATCAATGGAACTATGACCTACGGAAGCTTCTTCTAATTGTTTGTTTGTATCCATATTATTGCCTTCTCTACACCAACAGTAACCATCTTCATCCAGTAAGGTGTGATGGGATAAGTGATAAACTCTTTGAACTTCTGAGAATCTAAAAAGATAAAACTGGGAAACCTGATACTTTGTAAATACATGAATTTTTTTTCCACAGGTACGAAATGCAGGGCATAAATCAACAAAGAAGGAAAAAAAAAGAGATAGTCATCATAAACAAAAAAATTCAAGTAAAAATGATTTCAGAATAAATAAAGAACATTGAAATATATCATTTAAAGTTCGGGTTTCTCCCAGAAAAGCTTTACAGTTGTAGATCAATAAATACAAATATGATGCGTCTAATCCAACCTGTTTGTTTTTTTCAAAAAAATAATAAGAAAATAAATGGACTAACCTAACAAAGATCACAATTTTGCAGATAAAAGAAGAAAATATATCTGACGCTAAGCAATGACAAATTGAAAAACTAATATCAATATATCCCGCAAACTGCTCTTACATCTCAACGAAAATCCAATAGAGGAAATCCAAAGCTCGATTGTAGAAATGAAATGAAAAACTTCACTTTTTTTTTCAGAAGTGCAGCCTACGGGACAGAGTTTTACCTCAGAAGATTACTGCAATAAAATGCTGAGGAGTTCTCGCAACTGCAAGTTTGAAGAAATACCAAAACTGAAATGGTGAGCGAGTCCGATGTAGCTGAGCGTGGTAAGATGACAGGAGTGGAGAAATGTATGAAGTGGTCTGATATAGAGGAACTTCACAAGGATGAAGAAGACAACGGATAGTTCACAGATAAATGTAAGGGCATACCTACAAACAACAGGAAGCAACGGAATGCAGGAGGCTTCCTTCAGACGTAGAAAGCAACCGCAGGACATGAAAATTTAAAAAACATAGCACGATCACGGCACCCCAAACCACCTCTTGGTCACGTTCCGTGATGCACAATAGTGAAAAAGCAGACCCGAACGCACCCTTAGCCTGATCTCCTCCATATTCAACTTTTTTGTATTTTCATAACATGAAAATTCGAGATGCATTGAATGAATTATAATTAGGTTGATTATGTTATTCTAAAATGCCCAGTGAGGAGGAAGTTCTTTGGCTCTCAATTGCTGTACTATCATCATAATTTAATTACTTAAAGACATTTTTTATAATGACTTTATATAAGTATGTTTATACCATCATCATCATTAAATAAAATCAAGCTGTAACATTTTATAACTTCTGACAACATACAGCTTCGATATATCAATCAAGCAGAAAGTATAGATGATTCAGTTGGTTTCAGAAACTTACATGAACTATTTAAGAACTCAGACATAATAACCTGCCCAAAAATTTGTAACCTTCATCTCATGAGATGGCAATTGATAGTTAGACAAGAGCAGAATCTTTTGGCTCTTTTCAGCATGAAAAAACCAGCTCTGAACAGTCATAATAAATCAATCTGGCCTCGTAGCTTCATCAGCCAAAGCTGGCAACTAGCATTAATAAAAGTTCTTTCTAGCCGCTTATTCAAAGCTTAAATTAAGTTCAGTTCAAAGATGTTGGTTGCCTGCCATCTGGAATCGCAAACAGAACCATGGGTTTTGAAGATCGAACGAATGGGATGTCACATCTGAAATAACCTTTCCTCTCAAGCTGGATTACATCTCCACGCTTCAGATTACGCATATTGGAATCCCCGAGAGCCGCAACCTCTCGTCTTGTGCACGAATTTAGATTGTCAAGGAAGTCCTCACCTTCTTCCAGCTGCAGCAATGTTATTTTGTGCAACATACGCAGGCAAGTTAGAGCTGGAAGGAATGTATTTTCCATTTCCAATATCATAAGAGGAATTAGTAGCAACAATTATAAGTTACTGAGAGACCGAAAAGCCACCAATCATGGCGGTGACATTCGTATCCTGCTATGTTAACTATAAAGATGCTTGCGAAAGATATTCTAAGTTCAGTTTAAAAAATAAAAGAACTGGTTGGAAAAAAAAAAGACTAAATATGAAGTAAGACCCATATATTTCATTACATAATAGTGGTAAACAGTAGTAAATTTCATTTAAAACTAGAATACCATAAAGCAGTAGCAAACATACCTTCTTTTTCTTTAATAGGTAGTCAAACTCAACCAATGAAAGGTTAATTAGCTCATCTGTGTCAGGAAGCCATGTAAGCTTCAACTTGGTTGTTTTCACTGAGCCTTCTGGATGCAGAACCCCAACCAGATGAGTAACGATACCATTTTCCTTCTTAATATCTGTAATAATGGCATTCCCCCAGTCCATCAAAGTTACTTCCTCTCCCTCTAACATAGTTGATGCATCGGTATAGTCTACCCATATCTTATTTGTGTAAGTCGTGGCCTTGTTCCCAGCACCCTCAAATTTCTTATGCCTTGGCAAGACACGAACAAATGGCTTTTCAGGACCATTAGCAAGGGTGAAAATTACTCGTCCCTCTTCAAGTACAGCGGTATGCCTTGGACAAATGGGATCAATGATTTTTTTATTGATAGTCCAGAGCTTGTCCCACTCCATGAGGTTTATATTTTTGGAAGCACCCTGAAAAGAATAAGATAAACTCATAATTAGAGGTTTGCATAATGAAGAGTATTTAGGAATTAGATAATAAATACCTGTTGAAGAATGAACTGAATCAACGCCTCAATTTTTAGACCTCTACGTACTATTCCCTGCACAGTTGGGAACCGTGGATCATCCCACCCTTCCACTTTCCCATTCTGGACAAACCAAAGAAGTTTCCTCTTGCTCAAAAGAGTATAAACCATATTGAGTCGGCTGAACTCATATATTTGCACTTTTCTTAGTTCCATATCATCAAGTATACGGTAATATTGTGCATTGCGGTCGTGATATTCACTTGAACGAAGGGCGTGTGTGATACCCTCTACAGCATCAACAAATGGGCAAGCAAAGTCATAGGTAGGATAAACTTTGTATTTAGAACCGACACGATGATGAGGATCTGGGTTACACCGATAGTAAACGGGATCCCGAAGCGATTTGTTTGGGTCCTGCATGTCTAGTTTACCTCGTACACAGCACTGGATGCCTCTTTCAGAACCTGCAATCATTTCCTTCCACAACAAAAGATTCTCTTCAACTTTATTATTCCTACACTTTGACTCAATCCCATCCATCCTTTCCTTCTGCATCTGCTCCCTAGGTGTATCATCTACATATGCTTTTCCCTTGGCTATCAAGCTTTCAGCCATTTCCATCAACCGTGGAAAGTAATCTGACGTGTAAGTAACAGCATCATATTTGACGCCCAATGTCTCAATATCTCGTAACAGATTTTCGACAAACTCGTTGCTTTCCTTCGAAGGATTTGTATCATCAAAGCGTATAATCATCCTTCCTTTATATCTCTGGGCAAAATATTGATTTAACAAAGCGGCCTTAGTGTGCCCAATGTGCAGGAATCCACTTGGTTCCGGGGCAAACCGCAAGCAAACTTCTCCAAATTTTGCACCTGGAAGATCAACTTCAAAAGGAAGAGCCTTCTCCCTAGGATTTACTTCACCATTTACCAATGGTTCTTCATGTTCTTTGGAAGCTTGAGTAGGATTGGTAGAGGGAAATTTTCCCAGCCCTCTTTTGCCAACATAGGTTCTAGTAACTTCATTCAAAGAACTGTAGTCTTCTGCTATGCAGTTGAACCAACGGACTACATTTTGGTACTTCCTTGACTTCCTCAGACTTTCCCACCTCTGCCCAGTGCCTGAAAAATGAGATTAAACTTTCTAAAAAATCTCCAAAGTAATCAAATTAAAAGGCAAAGCATAACAGATCATTAATGGTGAGTGGTGACAACTTACCAGCAAGACCTGACCATAATGCTACATCAGCAATAGAGAGGCTATACCCAACCAAAAAGGTCCTCGAAGCAAGATATCCATCTACATGCAAGCATGCACTCTCAAATTGTGGACCAGATGAAAAAATTGGAGCATATTCAAGCCACTCATCAATCTGCATTGAAAGTCATACGAAATTCAGATAAAACTCAACTTAATTGGTACTCTTGATATCCATAAAACATACCTGAGATGACTCTATTGCATCTTTTCCATAGAAATTAGGAAGTTTTGAAACCCTGCCAAGATAACGCAAGAGAGTGTTTGTTCCCTGCAATTTCAATCTGAAGAGAAATAAAAAAAATTAGCATATACTTTAATCAGACGTAGCAACTAGAACTTGCACAAGAGCAAAAGGACTTGTCGAAACTGCATCATGCTAAATCAGTAAAACAAATTCCAGAAAAACATTATCATAAATATAATAATATTATTAAAAAAAAACTGAGGCAAAGAAGTGCCATAAAAAAGAAAATGAAGTCCAAATTGCTTCTTCAAAATCACAGCGCCATCTAATCACAAATGTACCTCAAATTTATCAAGATAGAATCATATTTCCATCTGAAAAGTATCCCAAAAAACAAGATAACAGGAGCAACCTTTTTAGTGAAACCAAAGGTGATAATAGCAGCAGTTACCGAAGCAGTAAATTTGATCCGTATGATTTAAAAAACAAAAACTCCATCGTAGTAAGTGTTTGTAATACATATTAGAATTTCAAAAAAAGTTCATCATAATTATTGATTTTCCAATCAGTCACTTCATTTCAATACAAAATGAAAAAGAAATCCCAATCAGACCATTTCTCTATATATTATTGTCTCGCTACTCCCAACAAAATCATCTCCCCATACACCCTCTTATTACACCACATCCCTCCACTATATTGTTACCGGTACAGCCGGTCCATGCGGGACCGGCTCAGCGGAACATAGGCGGAAGAATCCACCTCTTCCTGTACGTGCGTCTGATCGCCGATCCTCACAAAGCCATTTAGGAAGGTTTTTGAAGGGAGTTTAGGAGGGAAATTGAATGTAGGGGCTGTTTAGAGATTTCCTTTTGATTTATATGCATTAAATAGTTTGTTTTCCTAGGTTTATGGCATCTTGAATTTGGCTAAAATTTGATATCTCTTATATTTAAGTTTTCTTTTGGGCTCTAGCGGCATCTAGAGATTTGGGAGAGATTGATCATCCTCTCGAATTGAGGATCACGTATATCTTGTTTGTTTTTCTTCCGTTAGTTGATTTCTTGAAATAAAATCTAGTGTTTTCTCTGATTTTCATTGGAGTTTGGAAGAGTTTTCTCGTTGTTTTCCGAAGATTGACAGGAAATACTTGAGATCTACAAGTGTTTCCTATCAAATTGGTATCAAAGCTGTTTTTGGGATCTTTTTTGGGCTGTTTTGGTGAATTTTAGCAGCTGTTCTTGATATTTCAAAGAAGAAAATTCCTGTTTTTGAAGATTGAAGTTTAGAATTTTATTTCTAGAAAAATTTAGGCATCAATGACGGCCAACAAAATGGATGCATTGGAGGAATGCCTCGAAATGGAGAGTGGACAAATGAAATCTAAAATTTCAAATCTCCAAACTAAGTTTCGGATTTAAAAAAAAAAGATGTTTCAGCTATCCATAACAAGTTCGATTCGAAATTTTCCATCTTGGAGGAGATGTTGAAGAAACTGCTCGAGGGCCAATCCAAAATATCTCCGTCGGAGGTGAGGGATAGCGCCGACAGCCACGGAGATGGGAAAAATCCTAAGCCAATCAGGAAAAGGGGAGATCAAGAGGTGGTGACTCAAAAGGAAGGAGAAATACCTCTCATAGTGCCTATTTCTAGGGAGCAGCCGAGTAGAGGGTATGAGGAGATGCGTGAGGAGCTAGGGAAAGAATGAAAATGTGCTGATTTGGAGAGGAGAGAGGCGAGATTGGAAAGGGAAATGAGTAATTATGATAAAAGGGGGGCTAAATCTGAAAGGAGAAGAGTTTGTTATGATCTAAGGAGTGCTGAATTTGAGAGGAGAATGTGATAATTTGATGAAAGGTTTGGATATGAACGTAGTAGGGATGATTGGGACACTTGGGGGGAACCACCCCCTTGGGGAATAAGAAATTATGTAGGGAACAGAGGGAACAGATGATCTGAGGGTTAGGAAATTGAATGTGTCGATCTTTGAGGGAGATGATGCGCACGGGTGAATCTACAAGGTTGAAAGATATTTCGCCGTCAATGGATTGATAGAGGAGGAGAGAATGACGGCAGCATGCCTATATTTGGAAGGAAAACCTTTGGCTTAGTACCAATGGAGGGACATGCCACGACCCATACGGAGTTCGAGGGAATTCAAGGATTATTTGATAGAATGTCTCCGAACCGGCAGGGTAGGAGACTTCTACAAGCTGTTCTTTACAATGACGCAGGATGGTTCAGTGATAGAGTACCGAGAGAGTTTCGAGTACCTCTTGACTTGGGAGAGGCTATGAAGCTAGCTCAAATGGTAGAAGATCAGAGGCACCTCGAAAGAGATGCAGGAGGCAGCAGCTCAGGAGGCCCATACAGGATGACCACCACTTATTGAAATCAAAGAAGCCAACACCGGATACTCTTCAGGAGACTTTGAAGGAAAAAACTGCAGGAGGAAAACCTGGGGACAACTTCAAGAAGCTCACAGAGACGGAATTACATGAGAAGAGGGAAAAGGGGCTCTATTTTAGATGTGACGAGAGGTATACGCCGGAGAATAGGTGTAAGGACCGAATTCTTCAGGTTCTTACCATTTGTGATGACGAAGGAATGGAGGAGGGTATCGTCTTTCCACCTTGCGGACAAGATGGATCTTTAGAAGGGGAGTATTATTAGACCGGTCCAACCGGTCCACGCGGGACCGACCCAACGGAACAGAGGCGGAAGAATTTGCCTCTTCCTGTACGTGCGCTGACCGCCGATTCTCACAGAGCCATTTATGAAGGTTTTTGAAGGGAGTTTAGGAGGGAAATTGAATGTAGGGAATGTTTAGAGATTTCCTTTTGATTTGTATGCATTAAATAGTTTGTTTTCCTAGGGTTAGGGCATATTGAATTTGGCTGAAATTTGAGATCTCTTAAATTTAGGTGTTCTTTTGGGCCCTAGCGACGCCTAGAGATTTGGGAGAGATTGATCCTACTCTCGAATTGAGGATCACTTATATCTTGTTTGTTTTTCTTCCGTTAGTTGATTTCTTGAAATAAGATATACTGTTTTCCCTGATTTTCATTGGAGTTTGGAAGAGCTTTCTCGTTATTTTCCAAAAATTGATAGGAAATACTTGAGATCTACAAGTGTTTCCTATCATATACCCAACCTCTTGCACTCTATCATACTGTAGCTCACTCATTCTCCAGATTCTTATTTTTCTTTTTTATATGCCTGAAAAGAAGGTATGTTGCTGATTGTGTTGGCTCTGCCTTCGCCTCATCTTCCTTCCTACATCTGTCACTCTCTTTTGTTATCTATAACCTTTTTTTCCTCTCTGCCACTAGCAAGTCATGATGCACTTACTACATGCGAAGAAAGTGAGGGGTGCATTCAGAAAGAAGATGCATATGCACTTTATATGCAAAGGAAATGAGAGGTGCATTCAGAAAGAAGATGCATGAGAGCAAAAAGCGGGAACCATAGCATTAACAGGGCCATGATCTACCGTTTTTGTTCTGGAATCTCAATAAAAGAAATTAAAAGAAGCTTATGATGTAGAACTATATGCGTAATTGGAAATTTGCACGATTATTTTAAGAGCAACGTTAGATTCTCGTTAGAGCGATTTAACACAACAATGAAAACAATTAAGTAGTACCTTCGCTTAGGTTAAACCACACAAGAGACTAAGCTAGATCAAAACACATAGGAAATTTAAAATGTTGCATACGACGTAGTTTCCAACTTAACCCTTGTTTAACAATGAGATCTAGAGCAAAGAAGTAACAAATCCTACAAATACTAATGGATGGCGACAAGTGGACACAATCTCTTGTTTTGAACAATTCTCATGAAGAATTTGGAATTCGAAAGTAAGAGAATCAAGAAAGGAAAGGATCACCTTCGCGGAGAGACATCATAGAAATACCTCGTACCTTCCAATGATTGTTCCGTCCAAGACTAGGTGAAATCTTGTCGAGAAAACGTCGTGAGATGCAAGGTTAAACTTCAAGCTCCGGATTGGTCTTCCATCTCCAATTGAATTAGGAGCTATACCTTGAGAGGAGGATGAGGAGAGCAAGAGAGGGGGGCGGTGGAGAGAGGGGGCCGGCGGGTGTGAGGGGAAGGGGAACGGCTAGGGCTAGGGGAATTAGATGTTGTATTAACTCATAAATCTGAAATTATTTCAGGTTTGAGTGAGTTTGGAGGGAAAATCAATGGATTTGAAATTTCAATTAACAAGCATTAACTCCCCTTAATAGAGCATTAAATGGGATGGCCCATTGATGGGGCCGGCGGCATAGGGAGTCATTCATTCATTAACCATCAAAATACAAGAAAGAGGCTATATATAGCCCATTACAATGTCATGAAAAATAAAAGACTAAAATACCCTCGAGGGGCTACAAGACTCAATCCCTCAAGCAAGGGCAAAAAGGGAAAAGTGCAGAAATAAAAATACATCAAATAAGATGACCAATCCACTAATCAGAAATACATCGGGCAGATCGTGGCCGTCGATCTATGACCACGTCGACGGTAGACTTTCCAACCGATGTCCCCATCAGCTTACGATGCGGGCAAGAGGAAAAATAGTCTTTACTGTATATGACTCAGGCCACCCAAATTTCTCGACCCACAATTCCCACCCACATTTGTTTACTAGAAAAACCCATCTACGGACTTAACAAGAGCCATGATAATGGTATTCCTTCACTGGACATCTATTGCAACGCGGATTCAAATTCAGCATGTTGAACTGTCACTTCTTATCTTTAATCACGAGCATGTCAGCATATATCTCCTCATCTATGTAGATGATATTCTTCACACAAGTAACAATGATAAAGCTTGTGTCAAAATTGATACAAAACCTAGACATTACATTCCATATGAAGCTACTTGGTCTCATCTCCTACTTCCTGGGAACTCAGGTATTAAATGCACCACACAATTTCTTCTTATCTCAAACACAATAAGCAACATAAATTTTTCACAATTCTGGCATGACAAACTGTGAACCAACCCTTTATCTAAAAAAATTCAAAATAAAATCAAACACTGAAACATTAAAAGTATGTAAAAGAACTTGAAAATCTCCAACACTAA